GGCTAAATTTCAGTTAAACGAATAAAAAACAAAAAGCATTGATACCGCAGAAAATAAAATTCACCCCGTCGACTTGATGGACACCCCAGCATTGCGTATGGCGCCCTCCCTCTCTTAGGGTGCAGTACTACGATGTCACTGGGGCCACTCAAACCCCCATCTCCTCTACTTTAGTCAATCCTCTTTGGTTTTACCGTAAATATTGTGACGTTTTGTGAATATTCATCACTATTTCAAGTGAATTGCCAGAACAATTATCGAAATCGTGAGATCGTTATTCAGGATGAAAAATTGATTCGAGTAAGGATCAATCATATTTGTACAGAAAAGCAATAAGACGACGTTGCAAATCGATACATTAGTCATACTTAGTGAGTGCTTACGGTGAATTTAACTCAACATTCGCTATATTTCTTGAGGAGAAATGTCCACGTCGATCATGTCCAATGCCAAACTCCAGGATGATATGAGCAGTATTCCACTGGCTGATGATGATCCACAAGGTATGAAATCTGACAAGTGGAGCTTGACCTCATTTTGCTCAACACATTCGAGGACGTCTATTTATGGTAATCCTATTATTTTTGTCTGAATAGTGATAATACCAGAAGAAGACGTGCCTGATAATGACTCCCATATATCAGATGCTTTCGGTCGTGGCCGTAGTATGGATTCCATACCATCGACTTTCACCAATGGGAGCTACAGTCCAAACAGTAATTATTATCATTTATAAAACACGCCTCCTATTTGGGCAAATTTTGTTAATTCAAATGATTGAATTGAAGGTCTAGATCCTGATGTAAGTCCTGACGAACAACAGGAAAAGGCCAGACTAATCTCTCAAGTCCTCGAACTTCAGAATACCCTAGATGGTGTGTCATCATTAAATGATTTTTTTTCTTCAATAGAAATGTTGGATATTTAGAAAGTATTTCTTTTCAGATTTATCGCAGAGAGTTGACAGTGTGAAAGAGGAAAATCTGAAATTGAGGAGTGAAAACCAGGTGCTGGGACAGTACATTGAGAACCTCATGTCTGCCTCGAGTGTTTTTCAATCGACGAGTCCAAAATCCAAGAAGAAGTAAGCATCGCCTTTTCGCTTTCACGTTTGTCACTGATCAAGTACAGGATTCGGTAATTGTAGATTTTCTGTCTCGATGGCTTTCTATTGATTTTATATGAATGAAAATTCTTTGACAATCTCAAAAGATATCGCGGTGAAAAATTCTTTCGAATGGAATATTCCGAATTTTCTTGATTTAAGAAAACAGGAAACGAATATTTCGCGTTGCAAAGTATCTTTTCCCCGATCTGACATTAGAATTTAATATTAAAATTAAATAATGAGCATTGCATATGCTTTCTATGAATAATTCATAGACCTCAGCCACTGATTCGTGAGAAGTATATTTTACGGGGCCCTGATTCACCAAAGAACGCAATTTATTATTTAATCTTCTGGGAACTTCCTTACTCCTAAGAGTTTACGAAGGCTTGATAGTTAATCAATGGTAGATAATTTATGCACCAACTGGATAATCCCAGAATCAATAATTTCTTCAGAGATAATTGATATAATTACTTTATACGATGTAACGAAAAAATGTATATCGAATCAATGCATTTGATTGAAATTTTTATTACACGACGAAAATAAGTAAGTGGAAATTATAGAGGTAGTACAATCACCGGATGCATGTGAAATACAAAAACCAATGAAAGATGAGATATTCAAGCACGAGCTTCGCTTACAGTACTTGTACAGAAGAGAGAGATTAATTATAATAGATATAATTATCATATGAGAACTTATATATTACATACATAGAAAGAAACTTGTGTTATATCTAATGAGAACAAAGGGATGATGAGAAATGTTTGATGATATATTTCGCTATTTCTTATGCATATTATTTGCTGCTTATTCCTATGTACGTGGATACAGAGAACTGACGACTTGCGATGGTCACTCCGAATATATTTATCATGTTTCATAAAATAACTTGCTAATCGTAATTCATTCATGAGCACAAGCTGACTGCACAATAATAAGATGATTCCATTGTTAAGTCACAGTATGGTAATAAATATTGAAAATTAAAAGAATATCTGCGTAAATCGATTATGAACATTTCCATGATCCTTCAATGGTGACCAATTACCAGAAACTGTACAGCTTTTTGTCCCCATTGAGTTTTTAGTCCTGCCTTTGGCCTCCCATTCTTCTTTATCCCAATCCACCATCCCTTCGTTGCAAATTTGTGGGATCTAAACGCCTCGTACGAACCGATACTCCATTGTTCCCATTCAGTGTTATCTTTATGTTCTTTCACCTAAAAATCAATATTCCACTCTTTATGTTTTATTGTTTACAATATTTATGAGAGAATTACCTCACCGTAGAGGTGTCCCTTCTCGTTGAAGGCTAAGAAATGCCCAGTTTCTGAATTTTGTATTCTAATTACTCCGAATGATACCGATGACACGTTGAATAACGCTGAAAAAAAAATCCAAACGATTTGATGGGCTCGGAGCTATTTATATTGAATTACGGAATTGACTTTTTCATTGGCAAGTCAGTATTTGTGGAAATAATACCTATTTGATCATCGGGA